TTTGTTTTAGGGATGGGAACTTTAACTGACAAGCCGTATAAACCCGGGTCAAAGTAGACGTCAGAAACCAGTATCTAGACCGGGGGTGTCCAAACTTTTTTCACAGAGGGCCACGAATAGAAAAATATACGAAGGGCTGGGCTGTTTATTAACTCATCAGTTCAGTTATAAGTTAGAAAAATGTATCCAATGTGAAAATGCTTTAAATAAACAGCAGACTGCTCTCCAGAGGGTTTACTTTTATCTTGTTAGAAGCTCATTCCTTAAAACAGGAGCCTCAGATTGCTGATAAGAAGAGTACATATTTCAAGGTTATGTAAATGGGATTGTTTCTTACCCACTTAGATTTGTTAGAACATGTTTCCAACTTGAATTGACTGACTTTATTTGAAAAGTGGGCTCATTAACACATGAATACTACTGTGTAAAAAAAAAAAACTACTGGTGTAATATATTGTGAACATAATATACTTTAAGAAGTACAATATAAGACAAGCAGAAGATTATTATACTTAAGTCATTATACTTTTTGAATGGGCCGATTAAAAATGGTCCGCGGGCCGCATTTGGTCCCTGGGCCGTAGTTTGGACACCCCTGATCTAGACACATATACTGTACTTGTTGAGACTTTAGCTCTTTTCTTTGCAGTTAATATTGATTATTTGTGCTTTTGTCATCACCTTTCCTCAGTTTATAGACGTGGTATTCCCTTCGAGGTGGAAACCCTTCTCCCCGTGAAAAGGTAGTGAGAAATCTCTCTGCTGTTAGCCTCCTTTCCCCCATGAAGCTAATTGATACCTAAGGCTGGATGTGAAGTGTAAACAGACGGACAGCTGGTGAGACAGCCACCGTAATGTAGAGACATTTGGGTTCGTTTGTGGCTGTCAGGCACGACAGAGGCGAGGAGACGACCACACAAAAGAAACATTTGTCCAATCTGTCCAAGCAAACTCCCCAAGGAGGACGACTTTCCCACCGAGGGGTAATGGAAAAGAAGGAGGCAGGCTTTTGGATGTAAGAATGGTTGTAAAGTGTAATGACCTCTGGCAAATGAAGCACCTGTTCCATTACATTCTGTAAGGATTAGACGTATGATTAAGGTTTTATGACGATGAAGTTTAGACTAAACAATGGATTGGCAGTGTTTTCAAAGCTTACCAAAACGAAATAGTTGTTTTAAAGTCAGTCTGGACAATGATTACCATATGCAAACATCACATATATTCCCATTGAAAGCTTGCCATTTGAACCCCGATGTTTTCCAAATTAGTGGATGGGGTTTCCTGCCGTCAGGATCTCAGAAAAGACCACAAAGAGCCAGGAAGTCTCGTTCTGTTGGAGGACTAAAAACGTTTATCTGCCTCATTCATGAGAGGCTGTCGGGTCTGTCGGTAGCTCCGATTCAGTGTGAAGAGAAAAGGGTTGCCTGGGCGGTGAAAGCAGACTGAAAAGCAGACTGTTTGCTCATGTCCAGAGCCGCAGAATGGATGAGGACACAGATGGGATTTCTCTCTGCTGGACTGGTGTGTTTGGACAGACATGGAAACCTGGGGTAGAATGGACAGGCATCTTATTGAAGGAGGGAAGACTTAGTGCCTTTCACCCAAACAGGGCCTGAAAAGGGTCGTTGGAGACAGTGAAAGTTGTGTGTGTGGATAGGGGGGTTTGTTGGGATGAGGTCAATATACAACGTGAATGGTACTCTTATCTCCCTTTGGGAATGAAACATGTTGTTAGATCAAGTCTCTGAGCTCATGTATTGATATTAGAGGTGGTCTGTACCTTCTGAGGCTCCACAGAGCAGCAGCAGCACGACCATAACACTTCAAAGAAATCATCTGGGTTTGTTTCTCTGCTGTTCTCCTGAGAGCCGTTCTGTGAGCAGCAGAACATTTACTAAGGAAACAAAGTGCATCTCCAAAAGCTGCAGCCAGGAAACAGATGAAAGCTTCATGCAGAGGTCAGGATATCTGAGGTATTAGAGATGGTGTGGAAACAGGTTTCCCATGATCGATCTAATGGTCTTTTGGGATAAAGATCCAAAGGTATAGAAAGACATTGTCGAGGTTGTGTCTCTAGAACAGATGATTGCTTAGTAACCAATGTCCTCCGCAGTTTCTCAAAGTTCAAGGTCTTTTAAATGTCATGTTTTGCAGTCAAACCCCAAAGATATTCACCCTGACATGATCTCAGACTGAGAAAAGCAGGACATCTCTTCTTTTAGAGGCTGAAAACTGCTTTTTTCAGACAATTTAACATCATTTTAGCATTATGAAAATCCAAAGTAACATCTTCACACGTCAAAACCCCAAAGATATTCACTTTAACATGCTTTAAGACTGAGAAAAGCTGAGAACGTCTATTTCAGACACTTTAGCATCACAAATACTTAATCAATAGGCACATTCACACCGCAGAACTTAGTTCATCAGAACTCTTTAGTTCTGATGAACTAAGTACAGATCGCATTCACACCGGAATAAGTCCCCGGGGGAGGATTAGGCAAATGAAGCCGCTGACGTCACTTCTTCTTCTTCTGCTTTGGGTTTACTGGCAGGCCTCAAACAACTTCACGCCCAAAATCCCCGGCCGGAAGTCCCCGGAGTTGGGGACTGGCTTCAGTAGAACGCCGACACCTCCTCATCTCCACCGCTCCCATGTTTTATTTTTGTGTTGCCATAAATTAGTCTCTCTGCTTTAGTTGAAATAAGTAGTTCAGTAGTTCACATTTGAAATTGTGCAGACCTAATGTGGAGGAGCTAATTTTTTCGTTCTCAAGTGTCTCCTCTATGGGTCGGTATTAGACTGACATAGAGGTGGCATCTACGACCTGGGGACAGATCGACTCATACTACCCTCAAAACAACGAGCCAAGCCAGGTTGGACGTCGAGGTCTGGAACATTAAAGGTACTTTTGAGAGAAACTGGAGAACTGGAGACCAGCACGATGTGGACAGTCGAATACGAAGTGTTTCGTGGTAACCCTAATAAATAATTTGAGGAAAGTGGACTCGTTGTTTAGTGGGGGTCCTCGGATACCGAACATTTCGTGGTCCAGACAAACACTATGACCTAAATGAAATCGTAATTTTTCTCATAAGCGAAACAATAGATCTGTGGCAAAAGTTACCCAGATTTGGACAGCGTCCCAATGATAGAGATCTATGAACCTTTAACTTTATTTTGGGTGGTCTCGAGTAAGGAACACGTTGTGGTCCCACTCGCGACAGGAAAATTTGCAAACCATGACCTGAATCGTAAATGTTTCCATCAATTAGCGAAGATAATAAGATTGTGACAAAATTAACAGATTTGCCGTGCCTAATAATAGACTCAGGAAATTTTACAGTAAAGAGAGGACCTAAGATCGGTAAGACCCTCCCCAGTTAACATGGACAAACATACAATTGTTAATCAAGTTACGTAAGAAAGAAATACTGTTCAATACTTTTACTTATTGATTCCATATCCTACCTCCGACCTTGTAAATCAGGTAAGTAAAAATTCGGCAACAAGTGTGCCTCAATGAAAGGGTAGAAATCAAGGCCTATATCAAGGCTTTACAACGCAAGTGTGGTTTTTCTCGGCCTTGATTTTAATCGAGTACTCTTGGAAATGGGGTAAAGGGCAGGAGACGAAATCCTCCTCGTCCCTGAGAGTACGTCGAGAGACACTCTTTTCTCGATTATAAGACTAACGACCCGCCTAACGTTTGGTGCGGGGCATTTTGTTTTTTTTTTCACAACACTTCGGTGGTAGAAATAATCGTAAATTAATCGTAATCCGTAATCCCGGTCGCGTCTTTGCGTCTCTTGATTAAATACCGTTGTGTTTTTATTTTGTACCCTCGCCACCTCTACTCCTCACAGCCGCAAA